GTATTAATATAAGATATATAAAATATCTCATAAATCAGTTATTTTGTGATAACTATACCTTGTATTTTTTATGTAAGATTTATTTAAATTGATTTATTTAAACAAACTTTTTTTTGTTAAATAAAAGTAAAAGTAATTTCAAAATCCAAATTACAGAAGTATTTCCATCTAGAACAGAAATGTTACAAAAATTATAATTTTAATTATAAAATATCGTTTCAAAATGAAAAAATCTTATTTAAAACTTTATTTTTATTAAATATATAAGTTTTTTTAATATTTGTGCAATTATTGAATTAATCATAACATAAATTCATTATTTAAAATTAAATAGTTAACACGATTAGCTTTACATTTTAGGAGAAAGATGGATATTTATAGACTACGTTTCAGATTACAAAATTTAATTTCAGATTTCATCTTGCATCATTTAATAAAATTTAATTAATTTTTATCGAATTTTGCACTGAAATCTATAATTTATTTTATATTTGATATTAATACTCGCATAGTTATTTTTTTAATAAATAATTAAAATGTCAAAGTAAATAATATCAAAAAGAATTCAAATATATCTTACTTTTAATTTCTCGTTGTATGTAAGACGGATATATAGCCAACTGACGTTTTTACTAACTGAAAAACATTTTTAAAAACATAATTAGTATATAATAGTACGACAAAAATTGATTTTTTTTCCCATAAAAAAATCAAAGAGAAGTAGATGTAAAAAAAATACGTGTCTGGGCATTTTACTAGGTCAAGTTGTTAACATTTTTTAAGTATCATCAAATATCAAATCTTTTTATAATACTGTACAGCACAGATTTCCTGCCATAAAAAATTCAAAGAGATTCTGAAAGTAGATGTTAGGAAAGCATATTTTACTTTTGTATGTATTAATATAAGATATATAAAATATCTCATAAATCAGTTATTTTGTGATAACTATACCTTGTATTTTTTATGTAAGATTTATTTAAATTGATTTATTTAAACAAACTTTTTGTTTAAACCCGTGTCTCGGTACTGATTTACTTCGACATTGTCGCGACCTAAATAAAGCGATGTAAACAGCAATCACAATCCAATTCATTCCCTGTTCTTATTCAGTTCGAACAGCTGTGGATTTAGTTGATGAAATTTTAAACTGTATATTTAAAACGAAATTAAAAGAAAGAAATATTAAAATAAACAATAATGCAATCCAAATCGAATAATTATTGTTGTTTATTTGCACCTCCAAGCCATGCGAAATATAACAAAAAAATATTGTGACGGCATTTGAAGCCTATTTTTATATGACGTATACACATATACCGAATATGTGGTATGTGCCGTTGTGTGTGCGATTATTGTTATCATTGTTTGCTCGGATGGGAAAATAAATCCCATAAAATTAAATTCGTTGCACCGACAATTTAGTTACGACGTACCGAACACACACCTGAATTATGCTATTTTTGCGCAATAAAATTGAAAATTTCTTTCCAATATTCGTGAAAAAATTTTACGTCGATGTAGAATCCATAATTCCGGCAAGAGTACGTTCTGCAAAATATCCGACTGCGCCAACAGAAACCGGAGGAAAAACAATCAAAATCATCACCTTCTATTTTAAGTGACATATTTTCTGAGCTCGAATTCGAATTTGTTGCAATATTAAGTGAATTGGGCTATAAAGCATTTTGTGACGCAAGCAAGACTTCAATGACATTGTTCATGACGTCAATTTATCAAAAGATGCAGCAGAAATAGTTACATCACGTCTGAAGCAATGGAATTTAGTTACTGATGATTTTAAAATAATGAGACTTCGTAAATGCGACAATTAAATTCGACAATTTTTATTTACAAAAGCTTCTGAAAAAACTTGACTTATTGTATTGACGTTGATGCATTGTTCAGAGAGATCGGTTATTCTCATGAGTCACAGAAATGGTCACGACTCTTTATCGATTTGTCAGTGACTAGTTTGAAAGTAGTCTTATATATATTGGAAACAAATATCCATCCGTTTCAATTGCTTACGCTACAAATATGCTAGAAAATTATGAAAGTATGAAGTTAATACTAAAACTGATCAATTACCGTCAGCATGAATGGAGAATTTGTTGCGATCTGAAAATTGTGGGATTACTGATTTGAAAAAGGATTCCAAACATTAATGTTTTTTGTGCGTTAGGGAAGGCCGTAAGATAGATCTACATTACACTAATTTCATATGAAATTTATGTACGAACTTCCAATTGGATCAGTTAAGCATCACGTTGCATTGGTTGATTCAAGGAAAATAATTTTGCCGCTTCATTAAACTCGATCTCATTCGTAATTTTGTTCGAGCATTTGATCCTTCTGATAAAGCCAGTTATTATTTATTTTAAAAAATTATTGCACACAATATTTCCAAAATTGTCCATAGTAAAAATCGAAGCAGGTAAATTGATTTCAACATTGCTTTTATCATTTCATTTATTTGATTATTTTAATTCTTATTTAAATTCTTATTCAGTTAATGATCTTATTCAGATATGTATGTATTTAATCGTCTAAATATATCAAAATTGGTAAAAAATAAAGACTTCTGTAAATTGTTGATTACAGTGGAAAAGCGAGCATGGAATGATTTGGTAGCCGTCATTGAAAATTTTCTTGGCAATAAAAAAGTCAACAATTATAAAAAATTGTTGCTGAAATGATTTTAGCTTTTCATGCAATGAAAGTTAAGTACATGTAAGTACATGTTGCTCAAAATACACTTCCTTCACCAATCATTTGGATTTTTTTTTCCATCAAATTTGGATGAATTCAGAATTTAAGTGAATTCAAATTTGAATGAACATGGTGAATGTTTTCACCAAGTCATTGCGATCATTGAGAAATGCTTCAAAGGAAAAGACATCAGACACATGCTTGGTGAATACTGTTGTCTATTGTTCGTGATAAAAAACCGAAATCAAATCAAACGACCAAAATTCTTATTATAATTAAAATTGTATTATTATTATTATTATTATACAAAAATTTGAAAATATATGAACAAAAATAATTCTCAATTGTTTTTTTTGTATTGTACTCATCGCATAATTTTACATGCAAAAACGCCAATTATTTAAAAGAAATTATTATATAATTTAAAACAATTGTAAAAAGCCAATATAAAATAAATAAATGGTAGCATAAAAAACATTAACGACTTGATTTGATAAAAATGCTGAGACACAAGTATTTTTTTTGCTTTCAAGTATTTTTTCTACTTTCAGAATCTGTTTAATTTTTTCACGGGAATGTGTGTTGTACTGTGTAATAATTCTAATAATTCTAATAATTCTAATAATTACTCGTAATTAATATTAAAATTTAATGCAGCAAACAAAGTTGAAATAAAATGAAAAATTGAAACTTTATATTGTAAAATGTAATACAAATCCCCGGGAAAAAATATTCTATATAT